AAAAAAAAAAAAAAAAAAAAAAAAAAAAAAAAAAAAAAAAAAGACCAGTAAGTTTGGTGTGGAGTTTAGATTCTTGGGAGGGGAGGGAACAAAGGTAGACAAAGACCATTTAGGAGGCTGTGAGAGAAAGGAGAAGGTGGTAGAAGTTTAAAGTGGAGGAGGTAAAAATTGTTGTCTTGGGTAATAAAGGACTTGAATGGAGAAATGTGACAAGATTGTCAAACAGCATGAAGGGCCCAGTTGAGGTGATAGTTGAGAGAAAGATTTTTAGTTTCCCTTTTTTTTTTTTTAATAAAATTTATTTAAAGATGGGGAAAAGGGGGACGAGAAAGATGACAGACACCTATCTGGGATGAGTAAGGAGTATTCGAAAGTGAATTACTCCAAGATATTGTTTCATTCCAGTCTTTTTCAGCTACGTGAGGGCAGGTGCAGAATAAAACTGATAATCCATGTTGGTGTTTTTCCAAGTGACTAGAAGAGGGAGAAATGAGGATGTCAGGAAGTGGTGGAGTAGACAGAAGCCTGTGTGAACCAAGAGTAGGTAGGAGACGTCTAACAGGCCTGGATGTCTGCAGGTATCACTAGATACCTTCAACAAGGAAGAGTGGTGGATGGTGTGCTGGCATAATGCACTTCCAAGCTGCTTGGAGTCATTGGGAGGAGGGCGATAGAAGCAGCAATGAAGAACGAGAATCCTTGTTACCAAACTTTTTGTGTTAGGGAGGGGGATGAGGCCGGGGCAGCAGTCAGCTGGGAACGCTGCAGTGCAACTATGTGTTGGGGGCGAGGGCAGCTTGATTTCCCTCAGAGCACAGGTGCACATCTTACAACCCTTATACATTTTCCTGGACGGCTGGGGATTTAGCTCAGTGTCACCATGCCTGCCTTGCAAGCACAAGGTCTGAGTTTGATCCTTGCCACCAGAAAGGAAAAAAAGAAATTTTACTGGAACACATCCAGGCTTGTTTGTTTACATAATGTTACCTATTGTCACATATTGTCTCTGGCTGTCTTCTAGCTACACATGGGTTTATATAGTTAGCAGAGACCCTAGAAGCCTGAAGTGTTTACTGACTGGCTCTTTATAAAACATTTATGGGTCCTTATCTAAAGCAGAAAGGTAACTAAAACAATTAGGACAGAAAGTTGGTCTCAGACTTGACAGATACGTGGGCAGGGGATTTAGCTTGGTGGCACCATGCCTCTTTAGAAGCAAGCACAAGGTCCTGAGTTCAATCCCTGGTACCAAAAAAAAAGAAAAGAATTGACAAATACATAAACTGATATTTTTCCATGTCACAGATCATCTAACCCCTACAATTTGTTTATGTGAAATAAAGACATAAATTCAGAATGACATAGTTTGAATCTTTTTTGCAGGATTTTGGACATGAAATTAAAAGTGCAGTGTCATTTTTTAAGGTTTCTCTGGGATTTTACCAGCTGTACAGAATGGGGTATATTCTTTTTAGACATTAGAAGCTACAGAGTATAAAACTTTTTCCAGTTGTCTTTAATTTTGGTTAATGTTGGTTTCTCCAACATCCCCAGGATTTCTTTTGACCATATTTGGCTTTGTTTATTTTGAGGATGTTTCATAGAAAATGAGCTTTGCTTATAAGAAAAGTGTTAGGTAAAAAGAGCCGAAAACCAGGACCATAACAAGCCTTGATTATGGGGAGGATCTGCCTGGCTGTCACCCACAAAGGAGAGGAAAAACATGGTGGAATGGGCAGCTTCTTTTATAAGAGCCGGGTGGAGTTAGCCTGAGTTGGGGTGGAGCTGAGTGAGGGAGTATTAAAGGATTGGAGGAACCTGTGACATCACTGTTTGCTAGCAAGTATCTGGTTACCTTTTTTTGTCGGGAAGAGAAAGGCGTGTTGGGAAGAAGACTGTCTTTTGCTGGGAGAAGCCATTTTTTAACATGGAGTCTGCTATTCCACGTGGCAGCCATCTTAAGGCAAAGGAAATCTAACATTCCAGCCTTTTGTTTTATGTTATTGGGCGAAGGTCTCTTCTGGAGCTGTTTCAGGCTGACAAAGGGGTGAAGGTTGGGGCTAAACCTGGATCTGGTGGGAGCAGCGGTAGGTGGGGGCTTCTTCCCTCTGCAGCGGTGGCCGATACTCGGCCATGACGAGTTCCGTGACTGTCTGATTAGTAAATGCCCTCATGAGTTCCTGCAAGAAATTTTGAAAACAGTGAAACAGACGGGCCCTATCATGATTAAAAGACATTATACAAGCCAGTGTGCCCAACAAGGGAAGTAGCCAAGGCATAACGTGGCAGCCATCTTAAGGCAAGGGGAATCTAACAAAAAGAATTTTAGGACTGAGGGGGGTGTGCCTCAAGTAGTAGGACCCATGCGTGGCATGTATGAGGCCCTGGGTTTAATCCCCAGCACCACAAGAAAGAAAGACAGATAGACAAACACAGACAGAGTAAGTTTAGTTTTCCTCTGTTTCACTGGACTGGAATCATAGTAGCCGTAGACCCTGAGGAAACCAGGCCAATCCTCCCTTCCAGGTGTGAGTTCTCAGTTGAGGAACTGAGGAGTAACCTTCTGTTCTCACCTCTGATACTGGGCTCTCTAGCAATTGGCTGTGTGTGATTTATCATTCAAATCAGTCCCCTCTTGAAAGTGAGGGGGCAGCTGTTAATAACGATAGGACCACAGATGTGAAGAGGGACTGTTCCAGGCACACTGGATATGTTCTCTCCTATGAGTTGGGGACAGATGGCTAAATGAGAGGTACTTCAGATATCAAATCCTGCTGTCATATTTGTTACAGGACTGTTGTGAGGTTCAACAAGAGGATATAGAAAAGTTTTGTTTTTATGGAGCAGAAAACACTGTGCACAGGTGACGTCTTACAGGTGGTCCTCTCTCTTGCCTTTAGAAATTTAAAATCCGCATTGAAGACCCACCTCGCAGAAAGCACATGGTTTTCCTGGGTGGCGCAGTACTGGCAGATATCATGAAAGACAAAGACAACTTTTGGATGACCCGACAAGAGTACCAGGAAAAAGGTGTCCGTGTGCTGGAGAAGCTTGGTGTGACTGTTCGATAAACTGCAAGGGCTTTTCCCATCACACCACTAATGCTTTCTTTTTCCCTTTATTGGCAATCTTTGAACTCTTTCAACTCCAGGACATGGAGAGGCGTCTCTGTGCCCTTTGACTGGAAAGGTCAAGTTTTATTCTGGTGTCTTGGGGAAGCATTGTTAAGTTTTTGTTACTGAGGGTAAATCTGGCTGCTTAATTCAACCACTTCCCTGCAAACAAAACCAGAGGGCAAAGGGTCCCTCTGCTGCTTTGTTTCTTCTAAGTGCGTTTAGATGACTCCTGTCGGTTTCCTATTTTCACTTTACTGCTCTGCTGTTGCTTGTGTTAGTCTTTAGCACCGTAGGTGGTATGCCTTTATTAGCATAAGAAAAACTAAGCAATCTTTTGCATATTCCTGGGGTAGGGGTGGTAAGGGTCGGGTGGGCATTTTCTCTAGTGTGGCGCTTGCAACCGTTATTGCTGTAGCTTTAAGTGACTTAAAGCTTCTCCTGTTAACATCTTAGGGAAATGTTAAACTCAAATCTACAGTGTTTTGAGTGTGTTACTGTGTGATGGGAAGAATGGGTAGTCTCTTGATTATGATTTTTGAAGTTTCTTGTGGGGTAGGGGTTGTGCAGAAGACGAATTTTATTTACAGTACTTTGATTTGGCAGGTTGTCTTCTTTTGGTCTGCCTGGAATTGTTTCTGTATGATACAAGTGTAATATTCCATTACCATGTGACTTAGGGATTTTTTATTTTTTAATCAACCATGTTAGGCGGAACTAGACTGTAGAATCAATCAATGGAAAAGTAACATTTAAATATGCTTTAAAAATAAATTATGCTTTTATTAATTCAAATTACAGATAAAAAGTGCTTAAGAGCTGGTATCTTCTAAATGCTTCTGTTAATTCCAGAAGCATTAAGGTAACCCAGCACCCAGTACCATTTCTTTCAAATAATTATTTTATATAATTGACCAGTGCTTATTTAATAAAACAACCAGTTGCATGTAAATAATTACTGGCAGTAGATTTTTCATGGTTGGTTTAAAAATGACATTGGCATTTGGGACTTGCTGCCAGTTGAATAGTTTTCATTTGTTTTCTGTCTGTTTTGATTTGAGGCCCACAAGCAAAGTAAGATTTGAATATTTAAAATGTTGGCCAAAAACAAGATTTAAATATGTCTTTTTATGGAAAACTAATCCTAACTGCTAATTCTCTGATGTCTTTTGTGCTTGAAGGAAGAGGGGTTGGGATTCTGTAAACGTTAGCAAACTTTTTCCTGCCTGTGTCAGAAAATTGTACTTATGAGTCCTGTCCGTATTGTTACCTGAAAAAATATTAAATAGTATCCAGACATGAGTTCTTCCTAAATTTGAGAAAAATTTGACATCAAATCATGCTAAGTATGAAGTGCAGATTATTTTTCTGCATTTCAAAACATTCTTTACTAAAAATGAATTTGAAAAGGAAAGCTTTAATTTTTTGGATGACTGAAATCAGAGAAATTGGCTTGACTCTTATTTTGTATGAAAAAACTTTAAAAATTAGTTTATATGAAATAAGCAGCAAAAGAAGGTTAGTTTTAATTATGCGGTTCTGTTAATACCATTTTTTGTCTGTTTTACCTCAACTTGAACCCAGAAGTTGGCGTGCATGCTGGACATGCTTCCGCACACAGGAATAGTGCGTGAATAATGTGGGTTGGACTCAGGGCCTGGCTCTCAGAATCACTCTGGAATCCTTAGTGTTCCTGACTCTTTAGTTCAGATAAATGATTGACTCTTGGCCTTTGGTCATGACTTTAAAATATGGGTATAAAGAACAAAGAATAGGAAGAACTCATAATAAAAGAATGAACACCTGTTATTTGTCCCATGAATGTAGAATTTGTTTTCATTTCATAATTCTGCTAGCAAAATGACAGTTAAAATGGCATATTAATATATGTGTAATAATTTAGAAATTCATTTTATAATTTTCCTATCCTAAGGTAAAGAAATACATTTAATAATTTAGGAGTTGGGAGGTATGAATGTGTGTGGGGGGGTTCTATTTTAAAAGATCTGATTGTTAGCTCCCAAAAACTCGTTGTCACTTGGAGTCCAATGATGTTTAAAATTTTATTTTTAAATTAGAATTACCAATGCCTTGAAGAGTTTCTTAGTAAGCATGGTACTGCCTGTAAACTTCTACACCGTTCTGAGTGAGCACTGTTATTATCTGGAAAGGACTTTGAAAGATCAATGGAAAGCTAAATATTCTAAATTGAACACAAATATACTTCTCACTGATTTAGAAAATAAAATCAGATTTTTCAAAGTAAATTTGAATTGTGTCTTTATTTTTCCTTTTAATAAGTTTTTCTCTCATTTAAAAATTTTTATTCATACTTTTATTTTTGTGAATGCAAAGTGGGTTAAGGACTATGCTAATTATTAGACTAAGTTCAGTCCAGTATTCCACTACTGACAAAACTTATTTCTGATTGATTTTTAGATGTTGAGGGGGGGACTAACAGAAAATTACAGCTTTTTATTTCATCCAGCAAACTGTTTTGTTTTCCAAGAGACTTAAGGTGGCTTTTACAGAATTAGCAATGCTAAACAGAACTGTATAAGGACATTTTAGCTCCTCTGCAACTTTTAGATATATTATTTTTTAAAAACAAAAGAAGTCAGAATGAAAGTATATTTACCTGACCCTACTTGCTTTTATACCAGCCTTCAGAATGATAGTGTTTTGTCTTTCCTTCCTCATGAACTTGTCTTTTGTGTGGGGTTTTGTTTTTTTTTTTGTTTTTTTTGGTTTTTGGTTTTTGGAGACAGGGTCTCACTGTGTAGTTGAGACTGACCTGGAACTCATTGTGTAGCCCAGACTGGTCTCCAACTCACAGCGATCCTCCTGCCTCAGCCTCCCAAGTGCTGGGATTACAGGCATGTGCCACCACGCCCAGCTCTTCCTTGTGAACTTGTAAATTGGTAAAAGGTGAAAGATTTATACACAGGAGAGAATCCAGAATATGATGGACTTATGTATTGGAACCTCATTGTCCTTTCATAATCCCTCAATACCCTGGGGCTGCTCTGGTTCTTTCTTCTGGTCTCTTCTGAGTGCCAGAAGAATAATGTAACATGCAATCATCATTTGTGATATAGGAAGAGTGTATCTGGCACTGCATAATGGTGTAATTGGTGAAGTGAATGTCTTAGTACTCTTTTTATTTTTTTCTTCCCTCAGTTTGATTACTATTTGATTGACACACAGTTGAGTTTATTAGTGCTTGCTAATTTTGGAACCAGCTAAAGTGAAAAACTTAACGATTGACATTAGCTCAATATTTAACATGCTATCTAACCTTGGACTAATTAGCCAATTACTCCTAGTTCTGGGACCTTTGTAGGGTTACTTTTTTTCCATGGTTCAAATTTCTTGGCCTATTCAAAACTTGAGAGGAAAGACCTAGGGAAGGGTGTTTGTATGTGTGAATAACCCAGAGTCCAGATTAGTGACTTTCACCTCTTCATTGCAAGCAGCCTTAATCATGGAATAGAAATAAATCTGAATTAAGGGAGATAGAGGCTGCTACTTTGTACATTTTAGTGATTTGCACACTGAACATTTTTTAAAAACTAAGGCATCTTCCTCCTTACTGTGTAGCATTCTGAAATTAAGAAGAAAGTTGTTGAACCATAGTTTTGTTTAAATCATTTACACCATGGGAGTGAGAGAATCTGTAACTATTATAAGTATCTCCGTTTATTATCTTCATATATAAAATTTCTAACAGGGTAAAGGGAATCCAAATGATTTCTTTTTTTTTTTTTTTTTTTTTTTTTACATGGTCTCACCGTGTAGTTGAGACTGACCTGGAACTCACTATGTAGTCCAGGCTGGTCTCCAACTCATAGCAATCCTCCTGCCTCAGCCTCCCAAGTGCTGAGATTACAGGCATGTGCCACCACACCCGGCTTGATTTCTTCAGAGAAAGAACCGAGTTCATTTCACTTTCATATCTATCCCCTCAACTTCCACCAAACTAAGGAAAAAGAAAAGACTGGAAAACACTTTGCATATAAATTCCCATGAAATACTTTAAGAGTAGAAGAATTAGAGTATATTTTTAACTGTGCTTTCATGCACCAATTGGAAAGCTAGGGTTTGGGAAGGGTGGGGATCCATCACAAGAGTTTAGATCAGGGTGATGTCCTAGGGTAGACTGTTAGGACTTGTGGAGAATTAAGCTGTATACCCATGTCCCAAACTCCCTGCTTCTTTTTTGAGACAGGGTTTCGCTATGTAGCCCAGGCTGACCTCGAACTTGCAGTGATCCTCCTGCCTGAGCCTCCCAATGGTGAATTTATTAATTGTTGCAAACATGTACTAATAAATTTTAAAAAGAACTTTGCCATTAAGTTGAGCCTCAGCTTGTTAAGTACTCTAAGAAAGGTAGTAAGCTTCTTGAACAGAGGATTGAAAAAGAGGGCCCCAACTCTCAAGAATAAGAACTTTGTGAACACAGGAGCAATTAGAAATACTTGAATAAAAGTTGAAATTTTAAACAGTTAAGAAATTTGGTAGTGTGGAGATTGAACATGGTCTTGTATATGCTAAGCAAGTGCTCAAGCACTGAGTTACACACCCCAGCCTCATTTATATGTTTAGTAAGTACCAAGAATTGAACCCATAGTCTTCTCACTGATGCTATATCCCCAGTTCGTGCCCCTCCCCCCTTTTTGAGACAGTGTCTCACAAAGTTGGTCAGTTTCTCAGCCTGGACAAATTTAGGATTCTCCTGCCTTAGATTCCCGGAGTGCTGAGATTACAAGTGTGTGCCACCACACCTGGAAAATTTCATCATTTTGTAAAATCATTTTGTTCTGTAGGGGTTGGAGTTTTTTAAAGACATCTAAAATGGGATCAAGAAAATTGCAAGTTTTGGGTGGTTGGGGGGTTTGAGACAGGGTCTCACTATGTAGTTGAGACTGACCTGGATCTCGCTATGTAGTCCAGGCTGGTCTCGAACTCATAGTGAGCCTCCTGCCTCAGCCTCCCAAGTGCTGGGATTACAGGCATGAGCCACCACGCCCAGCCTGCAAGTTCTGTTTTTAGGAAAACAAATTAAGGATTTTCTAAATGAGCATCACTTCTATTTTTTTTGTACCAGGGATCAAACTTGAGTCCTTGTGCAGCTAAATCCCTGGCCCATCATCACTTCTAGTTTTTGTGTGTGTGTGTGTCTGCTGAAATTCTAACCACAGACTTCCTTGTGCATGTCAGGCAAGCACTTTGTCCCTGGACTACATCTTCAGCCCCAACTGCCTTTTATATTTTAATACTTCAGGCCGGCTCATTGAAGAGTAAATTTTTTTTTTTTTTTTTTTGGTACTGGGGCTTGAACTCAGATCTTTGTGTGTATGAGGCAGGTGGCAGAACCACTGAGCTAAATCTCCAGCCCAATTTTTATTTTTATTTTTATTTTTTATTTATGTTTTTGAGACAGGGTCTCGCTGTGTAGTTCAGGCTGGTCTTGAACTGACTAGCCCAGGCTCACCTCAAACTCACAGTGATCCTTCTGCCTCAGCCTCCAGAGTGCTAGGATTACAGGCCATGATTTGGGCCCTGTGGTTCAGAGGTTGCAAATGAATTATTAATACACATTTGATCCTGTGATTTGGAACACTCTACAAATGTATGGGGTTTCTTTTTTCTCTAACTGAAAGCTTCTTGCATTTATTAAGTTCAAGTGAAAAACTACTGAAAAGTGCTACCTAAATTTTAAAGCTAAACCATGGTGTCTATGACTCAGTGGGCCCTAAATGACTTAGAGAGGCCCTTTTATTTGCTTCTTTTTAATGGTTTAGGTGGAGTTCTGGTAGATGGCCAGCATTTTAAAGTCCCCTACTTGCCCAACCTGGAATTATAAAAGGAACTCAAATGACTTGCAAAGTTTGAGCCCCACTTATTTTTTCCCTCAGTACCAGGGATTGAACTCAGGACCCTGTACTTGCCAGGAAGGTGAGATACCACTGAGCTACACCCCCCAGCCCAAGGGAATTCAAATAGGGCTTGGTGAGGGAGCTCCCTTTGTATGCAAGGCCTGGGGTTTGATTTCCAGCATATATTCCCCCTTTCCCTTCTGTGTGGTAAATGTAGGAAATGATGCAGCCAAAGTATAATGACCTAAATTTCAAAACTAGGGGCTAGTAATATAGCTCAGAGGCAGAGTGCTTGCCTAGCATGTACAAGAGTCTTGGTTTGATCCCTACTGCGAAAAATAAAATGCACATTCCTGAAGCCCACTCTGAACATACCCAGTCTGGGTTTGCCTGTTTTCCAGCTGTGGCTCCAAAGCTCCCAGGCCCCTCTTGTGGGGTGCTAAGAAGACAGTCAGGCTACAAATTACAAACCTGTCATCTGGCCCACACCTGCATGCCCTTGCTTTCTCTTTCTTGTGGAAAAAAAAAAAAAAATGGAGTTTTTAGCAGATAAATTCAGAAGAGAGGGAAAGAAGGCTTGGAAAGCTGGAACTACTTAGAGCCAACTAACTCCCAGACTGATTCCCCTCGTGTTGACCTCTACCCTACATTCCCCAAATGAATCCTCAGTTCAAATAGGTGATAAACATTCTCTGCTCAAAATGCAAATTCTGGGAAGAGTAGAGCACCAGCAGTCATTCACACATGGGAGTGGATTAAAGGAAGTCCAGGGACTCAGGCTGACAGCTAGGGAAGGTAAAAAGCTCTGTGCGATTTCAGTGAGAGAAGGCCTGTAGCTTTGGCCTAGGGCATGCACTAGAGAAAATCGGCAGACTCCTGAGAAAATAGTTTTTCTAGCAAGCTGCGACTTTTCAGGGGCCCAGAAACTTGGGAGTTGGGTGCTGGAAGTGGTGAAATACCAGAATAAGGCACTTATTTTAACAGTTCTTACAGTTGCTTTCTTGTCGCTTCTGACGTGCAGGGTTCCCTGCTTCCCGAACTCAAGATAGCACAGGTAGTGTCCCCTTCATGGATGAAAATGCATTTGTAGTCTGCCAAGAACCTCACCAAGCAGATACAGCTGTACTTCTAGGGAGGATACATATGACTTAAAAAACAAATTTTTCAATGCACCAGAATGGAATTCGTTCCAATCTTTTTATTAGATTTTTAAATTACTAACCCAATTGGATTACAAAATTTGGACGTTTATGGAATTGTTTTTGTTGATAATTGCTACAGAAAAAAAGTTGATCCTGGGCTGGGGATTTAGCTCATTGGTTCCAGTGCCTGATTCGTGAGCACAAGGTCTTGAGTTCGATCCCCAGT